TCCACCAAAACTGGCAACTAAGGTTGTGATACATCTTTGTGCCTCCTTGATGCACAGAAAGGCATGAATGGTGAAACTCTCAGAGTTTTTCCTCTCGGCAAGACTCTGGCACGAAAAGACGATCGAGGTATCTAATACTCGAGTTAGAATACACGTTCAAGCCTTTCTCTCCTTTTCCACTAGAGATCTTCTCTCGGAGGGTTTCTGCCTTAAGGTCACCCCTTTGCGCTTCTATAATATGAAGAAAGTCCCTACCTCAAATATGAAGAAAAGTAAATCTGAAAATGCAAACATCGTCTGATCATGAATTTGAGACCACCATTGTGAAGGTCACGATGAGCTCTCCAACTTTCATTTACAACACTTTTACAAAATCTCACCCTAAAAACTCTCATTTAAAGCTCAAAGATTGAGCAACAAATGAGGAAGAGAGAGAGAGAGAGAGAGAGAGACACTGAGCTCTCTGCTCAACCAAAAAGAAAAGCAAAAGAAGGGAAGGGAGAGAGGTGTGGGGGGCAACTACACGTGGGTTTTGCTTCCCAATGCTTGGGTTTTTCCAAAAAAAAAAAAAAAAAAATACAATATAATTTTTGTAATAATACCTCCAAATTTTATAATATAAATTATAAAATAATATAATTTTTGTCACCACAAAATATAATATTTTGCTTATTACGCAATACATACACATTTCATTCCTTATAAAATATATAATTTTTCACCGTATGGTACATACCATAAATTCAACTTTCAAATATTTATTATAATCCTATATAATAAATAATAATAACTTACCAATCATATAATTAAAAAGGACCAAACAGTTAAACATGAGTCATTAAACAAACTCAAATTAAATTAAATCTAAGTCATGGATCATGAATTAAATTCTCACTCATAAACCAAACATCATCCAATTATATATCAAAGTAGACCCAACAAACTTTATCTCAAGTCATGGTCTAAACACCCAAAACTCAATTTCAAATTCCGCTATAAATTAAATTGAACACAAATTAGTCCGCAAAATTTTTTTTATAAAATAAATACTCATCAATTAATTTTAGAAATTTTTATCCAACGTGCTAGACTCATATGGGAACAATAATAAAAAAAAAATTTCATAATTTCATAGATTCAAAATTATTTAAAAAAAAAATTATTACAAAATTGAATCATTTTCGCACATAACTTTACACAACACTCCAATCCAAATATGTGAAATGGCTTTTGATAGTGTTTGTATAGCCTACTTACAGATACGTACCTAGAGATTCTTAGTGTGTTTTTTATGTTTTGAAATAACGGTTTATACATTGTGGATTGAACTTGGCATTATAGTGATGAAGGGGTGGGGGGGGGTGGGGGGGACACATTTTTGGCATTGGCATTGGCATTCATGTGCATTCACCATATGACTTTGTTAAGCATCATATAGGTCATTAAACTTAACTCTACCAGGCATTACCTCACTCAATATGGAAACTAAATTTCAGGTGCTGATGGTATTCCTCTGCCAAGGAATTAGCTTGGGAGGATTATAGAGCAGGATGCTCATCTTTTTTTTTTTGTTTTGTGAATATTATCTTGTATAAGCCTTAGGCTTTCTTTGTGTTGAGCTTGACCCACTTTTGTTGTATCCAGGCATCGTCTTGGAAACTTATAAGCCTTTAAGGCATGAACTTGTAATTATTTGTCCCTGTATATTTGTCACATGTTATAGATTCATAATCTAGGATTAATGAATGTATCAATGCATGTGACGTCTTTTGTAACCTTTCAAGGAAATCAATGAAAGAATGAAAATTTTGGAAATGGTTTCAATATTGGATAATTGAGACTAATAAGCTTCCACATGCACTACAACGATTTACACTTTTGGCGACCAAATTTAGCGACTAAAAGGGATTTAGTCGCCAAAAATTCAATTTTTGGATACTAATAATTATTTTGGTCACCGTTGGTTCAAGTTTTTACTACTAAAATATTTTAGTCGACGTATATTATTTATTGGCAATTGAAAAAAACATTAGTCGGTAAATTTTTCACAATAGGCAACTAAAAAAATTATCAGTCGCTGTTACTCTAGCTTTTCAGCTACTAAATTTATTTTAGTCGTAATATACTAATTCTTGCCGACTAAAATAAATTTAGTCTCCAAATAATAGCCAGATTTGCACTGTTACGCTTTGGCGACTAAGAATTTGGTCGGCAAGTATGTAGTTTTGGTGACTAAAATACTCAATTTTTTCCGACAAAAGAATAATTAGTCGCCAAATAGTCAACTTATGGCGACCAAAAATGTTTTAGTCGCTAAAAGATTTATAATATTTAGACCCAGATTTGAGCCCCTTTCCTCTGTCTCTCTCTCACACAGGGAACCTCACCTCCTCACTTCACCGAAGTCGCTCACCACCGTTGCTCACGTCCGTCACACATCGCCGCCGCAAATCTCCACAGCCACCATCGCAATACGGCCAGGTTCTTTCTCTTTCTTCTCTTTCTCTCTCACTTTTTCTCTCTCTCTCTCTCTCTCTCTCTCTCTCTCTCTCTCGCTCTCTGTCTTTGTCTCTGTCTCTCTCTCCCTTCCTCTATTTTCCCATTTCTCACTCTTGCTTTAGGGTTTTACATGATTTACCAAGTTTAATTTCGTGTTGATTTCTGAAATGGGTTTGGTTTAAGTGGTTTGATTTCTAGGGTTTTATGGGTTTGATGTGGTAAATAGGTTTGATTTAAGTGGTTTGATACCTTTTCCCCTCTTTTCCTTTCTCTCTCATTAGGCTCAAAGCCCTAATCCGACTCATTGTGTATGTATTTCCATGTATGGCTGCTCATTAGTTTCAAATAGTGTATGTATTTGCATGTATGGTTGCTCATTGATTGTGTATGTATTTCTCATGTATCCTGATTATTTGCATTGAAATTTGATGCTATGATTGTATTAGTAAAGAATTTATTTGCTTCTCTTTTATGATTGATTCAGATAGCTACGCAAACTTCTTAGTTGAGGGAGTGAGGAAGCAGAAATGGTTTGGCAGTTTTACAACATAATTTTTTACAAGGCATAGAAGGTACAATTAGGGGAAACCTATGAAACTTATGTACACAAGATCAAATGCAAAAGTTATATCTGTATATATACATATGTATATGTTACGTACAGAAGGTAGAAGATTGAGGTTTCCATTGTTTTATAAAGGATAATAGTTTTGGTTTAGAAAAGATTCCAATTTTCAGTTTTCTTTATTGATTTTGTTATGTAATAAACATTTTATTCTTATATTTTGTAATTATAATAAATAACTAAACATAGAACTAATGCTATTATCCATCTCATCAACAACGATATTGTGGCTCGATAAAATGCATGGAGTAGAGAAGGGAACACATGAAGGCATTGAGGATTTCTATTCATTCAGTTGTTTTAGTGTTTGAACAAAATTTGTAATTTGTTCTAAACTAGGTTATTTTTGTGTTTTGCATGTTTTTGGATTACTGTGCTATGGGTCTAAGCTTTCTTGCAAAGCTATTTAATCTATTTGTGAATTAAAGTGTTGGTTGATTATTTTTGCAGAGTACAGAAAAACATCCAGCCAAGAGATCAGTTGAAAACAACTCTGATGATAAGGCAGGAGGTGACAGAACTTCACCTGGTGCTGGAGAAGATCATACCACGGATGTCAAAAGACAAAAGAAACTGAAGTATGGGTTGTTTGATATGGCTGTGAAAATTAATGGTTGCACTCAACCAAATGTAGCAGTTTCAAAATTGGAATCAAAATTTGAAAATCTCTCTGGTGCGAAGGCACCTACAATTTCATATTTATGCAATGCGAATAGAACTATTTGTGCCTTTTGCCAGTGCTCTGGGCTTACTGATGTGAGTTTCCATTTCTGGATGCGCTTGTCTCTACATTTCCTTTGTGACAATTGATATTGCTGTGAACATTGTTTTTCCTTCTTTTTTTTTTAGAAAAAGAACTCTTTTGAAATATCTTGGTGTTTCTCTAGCTACAAAGTATTTATGGGGTTAATTTTTTTTTCTTTTTCCTTTTAAACCTTTTTTTTTTTTTTGTTTTTACTGTATTTGTCCCCAGAACTGGGCCTATGTTGCATTATGTCAATGGAAAGGAGGTTGCAGGAGATGCAGCAACAAACCCCAGAACTGGGCCTATGTTGCATTAGTTTTAATTTTTTATTTTAATTTTTATTTTGTTCCTGTATTACAACTCAATTGCTACATTTTCCTTACACCTTTCTAAATATTTTTTGCTAGCATAGCTTGGAATGTCTGAATTATTTGAGGTTTGCTGCATCATAGTGATACCAAATGTTACTCTCGCTTCGCTGCTCTGCTTTGCTATTCAATCAATCAATTTATGACTCGGATCTCTTCAATATTGTTGCCGTTCCAGATTTTAACATGTAAGTCTCGACATATTCAATACTTCTCACGTATGTCATTTTCCTTAAAATTTGATGTGCTTTGTGGTTTTCCCCTTTTAAAGAAGTCAAGGTTGTTTATAGTTGAAAAGTGCCAGAGTAAAAAGTTTGCATTCTTATGTGCAACAGTTCTCATTTCTAAGCCACATCAAATGTCATAATCCATGAGATCAACAAGGCCCAGAATATGTATCATTAATCACTGTTTTTGATGAAGTTGCTATATGAGTTGGCAACCTTTAAACAAATATTGATTGTGTCATGGACTTTATTTTACAAGCTTGGTCATTCACCCATAATTTAAGAATAAAATCATCAAAGTACATTTTACCAAGGTTCTGGAAATATAAAGCTAGTGAAGGACTTCAAAGTCTGAAATGATTGAAAATATCAGGACTATACAGCATAATAGACAATACTTAAGAGGCAATATATGATCATCAATATTTCTAACTGTCATATTTGCATATGATGAACATTCTAACTTTACAGTGTGCTCGTAGATGTCATGAAACTGACTGATCAATATTACAGAACATGAGGAGCCTTTCCACTTCTTACTCCAAGTTGCATAACATCTTCTTAATTTCCCAACTCACATCTTTTGATATTGTATTTCCATCCTTTGTTATTTCATCAATGTACTCCCAACTATGGTAAACATATTGCTTTAACTTTGAACTTGCAGAGTGATGGAAAATAGCAGACTTCAAGGTCAAATTCCAATTGCTCTCTTCAGCCTTCCTCAGTTGTAGACTCTGTAAATTTTAGTTCAATCTCGTTTGGTATTACATTTCATATAATGCTTTAGAATCCAAAGTAAGATAACTGATTACTTCTACACTTATTTTAAAATGACCTCTGAAGCTAGAGGCCTCTGAAATCATGGGACTACACAATCATTCAAAATTGCCGGCTTTGAAGGCCAAAGAGGCACAAAAGAAGGCTCAGCAGGTGTGGACGACGAGCCGGGGAGGTTGTTGGAGGAGAGGGAAGGAGGGGATGGATTGGGGGAAAAGAGCGATTTGCAGGATTGATTAGTTGTTAATATAATTTAGAAACACAAGAAATGAATTTGAGAAAATGGGTATGGAAATTTAAAATAAAATAAAAAAACCAGGATGTTGATCTTACATGTCTAACTTGGAAGCAATGGAGAGGTTTTGATCTTACACGGTCATTCATCTTCAAAAATTTGTTGCTCTGTGTTTTTTCGGGTTTTTATTTTTTATTTTTTATTTTTCTAAATGCTTGTGCTTCTCCACATAGTTCTCAGGCCTTGGTTCTAAAACAACCTCTTCATTTACATAGAATTCATGGCATCTTTGAATTCTATGTAAATCTCAGGGTTAGAGTTTCACAACTAGCAATACACATGGATATTTGGTTTTGGATCAGTATCTCCTCTATAGTAGTCCTTATCCATCAATTATGTTGATTAATGGTATTCAACTTAAACAAACTCGATAGATTTTTGTCTCACTTTCTTGCGGTCTTGTTTATTTTGACTTGACAATGTAGTCAATTTTGTTGTTTGGTGCTGTTAAGATTTGATTTTGAAAATTAGCCACTTATTGTGTCATTTTATTTAGGTGATTGAAAAATTGGATGCTGTTAATTTAGACTGTGTTGCCGGTGAGGTGATATTTCGTGACATCTCATTCAAATATGGTGAGGTATGCCTCTTGTATTAAATGGATTGGACCTTCATATAAAAGCTCGAGAAGCAGTTGCTTTTGTTGGGCCCTCAGGAGGAGGAAAGACAATGCTTATGAAACTGCTTCTTCGCCTTTATGATCCTGTGTGGTGAGTCATCTGTGATTATAAACCTTGTTCTGACATATTTGTTTTGACATCTGACAATTTGTTTATGATTATTTTCATTATTTTTATGTGACCTTTTGTTTGTCCCATGTTAACAGGTTGTATACTAATAGATAATCAGTGCAAATGGTGAGACAGCCTTTGAGAACAGGTTCTGTTGTCTTGCTAAGTAATTTTTTCACTTGATTGAAAGTAGTAGAAGCTTTAGTAAGTGCAGCTTCAATCATGATACGAGCAAGCCCTTTGGCATCTGCCTTTGCACTGCGAGGGTCTGACCTTAGAGTCGAATTGCAAAGATCGGGATTTTCAGATTTCTTGCAGGTATCAGCTATTAAATCCACATGAGAATGGTAATTTAGACTAAAGAGGACAAAAAGAAGAACAATTCTTGTCATGGTGGGTACTATCTTCACTCCTTTCCAAGGGAGTTTTGTAAGTTTTATTTTTTACTTTTTGATGGAGAATTGAGTGTTTTACATTGGACAAGCTCATAAGTATTTAAGCACTCAATTGTAACAATAGATAGTAACAAAGCACAATCACAAATAAACGCATATACATGGTATAATAGTAAAGTTAAATGAAACTTTAATGCAATCAATGGTCAAATAAGGTAAGCACTAATAACACAACACAGAGCACTCATTTGTCTTGTTGTATTCACCACAAAACAGAAAAAGAAAAATATAATACATTTCTTATATATTATAAACATACGGTAAGCTAATCAACACCGGATAGTCTTCCTAATTTTTATATGTGAATATTCATGTGTGTATTTATGAAATTTCAATGCAGTAAATGGTCAAATAAGCAAAATAACGTAAGACATTCAATCCAATTACAAGACCACCATATTTGGCCTAATGATTGTGTAATACCCTTTGTGATATGAAATCTTGGGTTCAACTCCTATAGAGAGGAGTTTAGTACCCTTCATAGTGGTGTTTATTTCTTCCCCATTATGAAGATTGTTGGGTTTGGGCTTGGACTTGAGTTTAGTGGGTTTTTAGGTATGTTTTGTTGACCTTCTAATTTGGGAGATTCTATTTACACCCAAAACATCACTAAATTACGAATCATAATTTTTCAAAATCTCACCAAAGGCTCTAAAAATCATGTTAATCATAGCTATGAAGTCGATTTTTTGTTTATCGCGTCTCTACGGCCTTCAATTTCAATTCAAAATTTCAATTACAACAGATATTCCTACTTTCAACAGATATTTTTTCAAATTCACATATTTCTCGTACTTAAACTTACAAATTCATGTCAAACACATAGTCTCATACATAATTAAGCATAGTATGGGTTGGGTTATCACAAGTGGGTGTCCCCAAAATTGGGGGTCACTATCATTGTTTTTGAATGCATCATAAGAAACAATGGGATGCTTGGGATGGGTTAAAATAACCTAGATTAGAATAATTAATAAAATAAAATATTTTATTATATTAAATTTTTTTTTTTATTTTTTTACACATCATTTTGTAAAAGTTCAAAAAGTTAACCAAAATAGTATATTCCTCAACGGGGGTTAATATAATCATTTATTAATTGATTAATTTTAATTTTATTCTCCAAATTATTATCATTTTTTTCTACTTCATTGTCAAATTATCAATTTTGTCTATTTTTTTAATTAATAAGAAAATAATTAAAAATATGGAAAAAAAAAATCATAATCAAATAGACCACTAACCCACAATAGCTAGAAATTTAACGAAGTCTAACAAGCAATAAACTAAGGCCAACCACTACAAATTACATAAAATTCCCATAACGGGGAAAAAATAAATAACCACAAAAAGTATCAAACTATTCTTTATATGAGTTGAACTCGCAACCTCACACTATAAATTCTCTAAATTTTCTAATTTTTGTAATGTAGTCTAATTATAGAGACGATTATATAAATTATAATTGTTGAAAACTAATTTCATAGAAAAAATTTTGTTTCAGAATTTGAAAATTATGAATTATACAACAAAATACTCACTTTTCTTATTATTTCGAACAAACTATATCTTACAATCAATTTAATTGGTATTTGTTTATATGATTTAAGTTGCAAAAATTATAAAATTATTTTAAAAAATTACACCGGTAATCCTTGCATTTTGTTCATTGTGTCATTTTAGTCTATTCACCTTCAATTGGCTTAATTTTGACCTTGAATGTTGAATTTTGTGTTAATTTGGTTCAATGAATTACAATTGTTAGTATTTTTTTATGGAATGAGCATATGAGTAACATGTGTGAAGTTTTTAAATGCAAAATTATGAACTTGTTCAACTCATTGAATTAATTTCAATCAATTCAATGATTGTTTTTAATGAAAAATCAGCGTTATCAATGGGCTTAAATTGACACAAAATCTCAACTAAATAGTCAAAATCGAGCCAATTAAAAATGTATGTCCCCCAAAAAAAAAATATTGATATAATTTGCTTAGTTATTTCTTTTCCCTCCAAATTAAGATTTAAAGATTATTGATTTGTACAACCCTCTTTAATTAGACCACATGAACAAAAATCAGTAATTTTAAGTGCTAAATGGAAAAAATAATAATTTAGGAACGAAATTAAAAAAATAAAAATTAATGATAGTTTGTAAGATAAAATTGAAATTAGGAAAAAAATTATTTATAAGTCCTATTTGGAAGACATATTTAATGTGAAGTCCTATGAATATTCTTTTAAAGTTTGAAGTCCTATTTAAATAGAAATGTGTTCCATGAGGTCCTATGAATTGTAAATGAATAATATTAGCGTACTATTATACCCCTAATTTGTTTTCCTATTATACCTTATTTTCTCATTCATCATATCAGGTTTGGGAAGGTTTTTAGGAAAGACAAGTCTACAGACAACGACTGTGCGAGTTTCTTTCACCTTGATTGCGGGATTCCAGTGCATTTTGAAAATGTTGCTTAAATGGATGTGGATATGGTCGATAATATGATGAAATTTGAGGGTCGTATGTTGATTCCTTTGACAGATTTCGAGTCCAATTGGTTGAGCGGAAGAGGTATTATTATTATTATTATTATTTTTATTTTTATTTTTTATTTTTTGTGTGCGTGTGGTTGAAATGTGTTACTGTTTGTTGAAGTGTGGATTGTTCATCTTTAATGGGCATTTATAATCTATTGCACTTATTGATAGGCACACTTTGGTCAATATTCTGATTGAATGTGTGTATTTGACATTATGATGGTTGATGTGTTTTGATATGTTCGATGTGTGGGGTAGTGTGTATATGTTCAAGGGTTAGGTTGGAGGTATTTGGTTCTGCCTATTAATTGGATGTCGAATGTGAACCACGTCGCAGAATGTCAATTGTACAGTGGGACCTGAATGATCGTGTTACAATGCATGTTACATTTAGTGTGTAATGTTAATCCACATGCACCATGTAGTAGATGATATTTGTGTATTTGTTCGGTTGTGTATGTGTTTGGATGTGTACCGTGTTTTTGTTGTAATCAGTGTTTACATATATGGCATAGTACATTGCGCAAAATTGTTAGGGATTTGGGTTTATCATTAAATGTGGATTGAATCCCATCACACGATGCTGAAGTTACGTTGGGTTGGGGATGATGGTGGTTCAATGGTGGATTATTGGAAGGCCATGTTGGATTTGGAATGAGAAGCATATGAGAATGTCACAGTGAGTTTGGGATATTACATGTTACATTTACGTTGGGTTTGGGATGAGAAGCATATAAGAATGTCACATTGGGTTTGAAAATGTCATATTAGGTTTGGGATATTATATGTCACATTTATGTTTTGTATTTCAAATTTTCAACCATATAAACATGATCGCAATCTATGGTAACATTAGATTTCCTATATATAGTATTGACATTAATCAAGTTATTTTGAATTTCAGAAACATATGAGAATGCCACGTTGGGTTTGGGAATGTGATATTGGGTTTGAGATGTTATATATTACATTAACGCTTTGAATTTCAAATTTTTTATCATATAGATATAATCATAATTTATGGTAATATTAGATTTCCCTTATATAGTATTGTCATTAATTATGTTATTTTGAATTTCAAATTTCTAACCATATAGATATAATCTTAATCTATGGTAATATTGAATTTTTCATATATGATATTATCATTGATCAGATTATTAATTAATTAATTAAGATTAAGGGTAGATCTGTCGACAAGAAAACCACAAGACCTATTGAGATATAAGTTTTTTCATAGGAACATATCTTCTATAAATTTTCCAAATAGAACTTATAAACAATTTACCCTTGAAATTAACCCTTTATTAATAATTTTTTTTTTTTATAGAGGAAGTAATAAATTAACATGAGCATATAAGAAACCTTCTTACGTATTAAATTTTGTTGAATTAAACAGTAAAACGGGGTAATTTATTTATTAGTAAATAATGATGTCACTTATCATCAATAATGTAAGACGTACTGTTACATTACTCACTGGGGCGAAGCAAAAATTTTAGAAAAAATTGCAAATCAACGAAAAAAAAAAAAAAAAAACATAACTACATATTAGTTGAAAGTATGAAAAACAATTTAATGTGTTTGGTTTTATTTTTTTGAATTCAATTTTCTAAAAATTGAATATTTTGTTTTTCGTATTTTTTTTTTGTTTTTAGTGAATATTTTTAAAATTTTAAGTAATTTTTTTTTATTTTTTTAGATGCACCTTACTTAGATTTATCTAGTAAAATATTTGTGAAAAAGTATTTTAAAAAATTAATAAATATACAAAAATACAAAAAAATGTACTAAATTTTCATTTTTTTTTTGTATTTTTGGTATTAAGTGAATTTTTTAAAGATTTTTTTCACAAATATTATACTTTTGAGTATATTTATGATACTAAATTTTTTTAAAAAAAATAACTTAAAATATTAAAAAAAATTCAGTGAAAACAAAAAAAATAAGGAAAACGAAAAAGTAAAATTTTCTAAAAATTGAAATCAGCCGAATGATTGCAAACCTGTGAAATTTTATTTATGTACAAAAAATTGGGCAAAAATGCCCCCTCCTCTTTCTTGTTTTTCCAGTTACCACTCATTTGTTACTCTCTCTCCCCTGCCATTCCCAAACCCCCTCCCAGCCTCCCCTTGCAACAAATTCATAACCACCCACAAGAATTGCCCTCTCTAAGTAGATATTAAATGCAATAATTGCACTAATTAATGAATAATTTTAAAGTAATGCTAAAAATCTCAAAAATTCTACAAAATGTCTCATATGGATGTGGATTCCATGTGAGTCTTACAACCATGTGAAACATTTGATAGAATATTTGGTAGAATTTTTACGTTTCTAATATTTTTGAAAATTTTAATTAAGTTAGTTAAACAAAAAAAAAAAAAACAAGATTGTTT